ACCAGGCGAAGGCTGCGGCCACTGCTTCGTGCCAGCCTGCGAAGAAGCGTCGTCAACGAAGCACCATTCGCGATGAAGCTCCTCCCGGCAAGTCGAAGGCATCAGAGGCTGCCGAGGTCGAGAACGTGACAGAAGCCGAACAGGTCGAGCATTGCAACCGACAAGCGATGTCAAGGACAGCGGAAGATGCCAGACAGGCTCAAGTTGGCGTACCCGTGGCGGGCAAGACCGTCGAGGCGCACTGGGAGCAGCACGATTGGGAGCTCAGTGAGAAGTTTTGCGAAGCATTCTTCTCAAAGGCAGGTTGGCAACACTCGCCCAAGGAGGCCAGGCAGATGCTGGAGCAGCAACCGCTCCCATGCAGCAGGGAGCTGGCCGCGGCTTCAGCCCTTGGCCTCTACTTGCCAACAGCCTTGCTCTCGGCGAGGGAGTCACCCCTCTGTCGTTGACGAGGGCGGCAGGAAGGCATTGCGGAGACGGGAAGGCAATGCGAACCGCCTTTCGGGGAGGAGACAAAGAAAAAGACTTGCAGCGTACCTCTGCTTTGTATTGTGCAGCGACACGTCCAAGTCTCTCACGTGCAGCTTGTAGGGGGACTTCCCGCGTGCACTTGATGACAACTCACGACTCTTCGCAGCCTGCTTGTTTCACCGGACCGGAAAGAAGGCGCATGTCATGCTGTTGATTCTGGTAGCTCTATCACTTAGGAAATAATGCTGGTCAAGTCGAGGCCGCGTAGCAGTTGCACTACACTTGCGACATGTTCTGCAGGAGATCATTCCTGTAACCCTGTTTCTTGCAGTGTCGGGTCTGACGCAAAGACAACGTCAGACATGCCATGCTTGTAAGCCCGTGCCGAGCCGCGGGTGTCCTGGCGCTGAAAGCTGTCTGTTATCCTTAAAGGCTGAGCTTTCGGGCTTCTTCATGGTTGCGGTGCTCCCAGCCCTTTCAACGCGAATCCTGCAGGCCCTTTGGAAGCCCAAACACCCCAAGGAAGACTACAACGGCCTTCGACAGATTTGCAGTCGGGCACAGAGCCTTAGAATAGGTGGTAAAGTCTGGCAGAGTATACACGACGGCGAAGTCGCCCTTGCAAGCCTGCCCGGACGACCGACAAGATGGGCACTACAGCTGCTCTTCAGGATGCAAAGTCGGTGATGCAGCCCGGCCACAAGCAGGGGCCTCGGCAGAGCCTGCAGAAGAGTAGCATTCGAAAAGGACGACGAGGACGAGGACGACCACAGTAGCGCAGTACGCACATTGAACGACTAAGTCAGAAGCGTTAGCCTAGCTGCCAGTGTATATGCAGAGCCATCAGCAACATCGAACATCGTCATTGTCGTGACTGCCGTCCTGCTCCCCATCACTATCATCAACATAGTCAGCGCTCTCCTCCGTCATCATCATCAACAGAAATTTCGTCACCATCATCATCCAATATCGCCAGGATGATCGCCTTGCAAAGAGCGGCTCGAGTGATAGTACGCAGTACAACTTGCAACATAACGCGTATGCTTCTCCCGAATGTGCGGTAAGGATCAATGTGACCAGGGCTTAGTCAGCTCGGAGTTCAACGGATGAATGTGCGGATGGTGCCGAAAGCTCTCTATCATATGCCGATCTGAGAAGAAGAAGAAGAAGAAGCCCAGCGGGCATGGGGGAGCAGCCCTTAATTTGATTTGCATAAGGTGGGTCACATAGGGAAATGAAGCAGGCTCAAAGGGTTTCAGAGGTGCAAAATCAGCGCCAGCACTTACCACCTCGCAGGCCGCAGCTACCTGTAGATCTAAAGCGTCCAGGATCAGCCGGCGACCTACATCCGATGCAAGTTGTAGGCTTCAGATTCCAATGTTGCAGAGCTGGCGCGGCCTTCTTGCACCCCAAAGCCCACAACGAAACATTGTAGCGTGCTACTGGGCTCGGCTTCTTCTTTCCAACAGATGATCGTACTCGTTAAAAGCTGTAAGCAGGCTGGTGCCTGTTCGAACTGGTGTTGTTGCTGTTCCATTGCTTCTGGTCTGCCGCTTGCCTCTATTTTCAGGGACGAGTGTGGCTGACGACAATTAATTACGATGACTATTCAGACGATACATCATGTCTACAAAGTCGAACCATCATGTCTACAAATGTGTGTGGATGCTGAGAACATCGTTCGTATCAATTTGAGCAGACGCTGGTGCTAATCTCCAAGCTCAATGCTGATCTCATGAAGCTTGCTGAAGTCAGAGATCCTGAACCTTCGGACTATTCGTGTGCTCTAGTACCAGTTTGTTTTGTTAATCCGTGGTGTTGGGACCAGGATCATTTCTATTTGTGCTGCGTGTGCGCTTGCTGCGTTTCCGGGCTCGACCCGAAGCAGTAGTGCGGAAGCAGAGAAGCTCGCAGTCTTGTCAAACATACTCACTCTGCTCTTGCTCGGCAATCCTAGCTACGGTATTTGATTCTGCCCTCGAAGGGGCCTTGTTTCAGACAGCCACCGTATGTTGTTGTTGCTGCTGTTGCTGCTGTCCTCCTTCGTATTTTTGCTTGCTGCAATCTTCCTGGCTGGTGACATTCTCTTCGTAAGGCCAGTGCGCTGCAGGCGGCATACACTGCATCAAGGCAGGTTCAATGAAATTCGAACCGCCAGCCAGTAGTATGCGCGTCGGTATGTAACACTGAGAGGAAGCACACAACCAACACCGTTTGAGTGCGTGGCATTGACATAGTATTTTGGTTTCCGTAGCAACAAGGGTAAGCATCATTATTACTGGTAGGGCAACGACACTAAACTCAACTACTCTAGCGAACTGTAGCCGCTCCAAATGCAGCAGCAGTAGCGGCAAAACTAGCGGCCTCAGACACAGTAGTATGCAAGAGCGGTAGTGTGAGTATCTGTAACAGTTCAAATCACCGTACTGACAGCAAACGCCGAGCACTGCGCCCCGCCGAAGATGTTGAAATGCCAGGCCGGGATCGCTATCGTCTAAGGGGCACCTCGGATGCAAGCTACTGTAGCTGGGCAGAGTTGCTGGGACAGACTGTTTATCCGTATCCACATCGAGCATGGCTGGGTCAGGTAATGCAACTAGCGGCGACGTCTAGATGACTGTACTGTAGTGCTCCAGCACCACTAGCCCTGATACTGCTGGCTCGGAAGCCAACATCTTTATCGTCGTCGTCCAGAAGTGAGAAGACTGAAGTATCTTAGTTCAAGTAGCAGGACATGGTCGCTGAGCCTGATCGTGGACCAAGCGCACAGTCATAGAGTCTAAACGAATGTCTAAGGCTGTGCGCCTCGCAATCTGCCAGTCGGCCGATTTCGGCTCTGTCCCCAGTGCTTTGAAGATATGCATTGCCAATTTTGCCTCTGCAGCTTTGGTTGATTCACATGCTTTCCACTGCAATTACTACCTCCTCCTCCTCCTCCTCCCTTCCTCTTTCCCCCTCCTCATCATATCCCTACCCGTACTCGTAATCGTACTCCTCCCTCCCAGCTCCCTGCTCACTCCTCCCGCTCGTGCCCCTACTGTAACTCCCACTCCTACTCCCACTCCCACACGTACTCCTACTCCTGCTCCTCCTGCAGCTGCTCTTACTACTACTGCTACTACTACTACGACGACTACTACTACGACTTGTACGACGACGACTACTACTCTACTGCTGCTGCTGCGGCTGCTGCTGCTGCTGCTACTACTACTACTACTACAAGGAATACTAGTAACAACGCTGCTAGTTCTCCTGCTGCTGCTGCTGCTCAGTTGCTACGACACTTCTACTATCACGGAGATTACTTCTGCTGCTGCAGCAACAACAACCACGACTGCGAAGACGAAACCGGCTCAGACTACAGCAATGACGATCACTACCACGACAACGACAACCACAATAACTACAGCCATAACTACGACTACTACTACAACGACAACAACAACAACATCCTCAAGAACAACAGAAGCAGCAACAACAGCACGCAGTGCATGCACTGATTTCTCGTGTTGTTCGCTCTGGGCCTGCGGAGCAAGGTTGAGCCACCCATCCTGGCCCCTCTGCCAACTTTCGTGGCATCGCCTTGCCTCTGAAATCAGCTGGCTCCGCAGGCACCGAAGCTTCAGACGACCTCGAGCGCGCCGAGCCTTCACACGAGGCAAGGGAGCTGCTACTGTACGGAATGGGCGTAGCATGGGCCCACGTAACTGGTGATACTATTCGTCTCGACCCCCTAGTCAAATTCCTGAAGCCGAATTAATGCTTGGTGTGTGTTTTGGCTCCAGCTGATATTGCTTTAATTCTGAGCCGGCGACGCGGGATCTTGCAGCCATGGCAAAGGCAATGAAGGCATCCAGCGGGGTGCGACGTGTTGCTGTTGAACATGACCGTGACAAAGGTTATGATTGTCATCGGAATCGTGATGTGTGTTTCGATTGGCACTATCATGATGCATCCCTTCACCAGTAACCATCAAGCCAATCACTGTCAGTGCTGCTGCTACAAACATGTTCAACCGAACCGTCGTCGACATGATCATGAAGTTGCACCACATGATCTTTGTCCGTCGGCTTTGTTCCTTTATCGCTTGTGATATGTAAGGATCCGTCGAGTCACCAGTCGCTTGTATGCGGCGGCATCCCCGTTGGCGCCAGTCTGATTAGTCTTTCAAGTGGTTGAGATGGTGGTTTACCCTCAAGATGGTGCGAATGCAAGCGCTGATGACGGCAAAAGGACGGTGATGTGGATGATTTGGTAGTGAACCATGTTCTGTCGTCTCTGCTGCTGGATGCTACATCACGATTAGGATCACGTAGTAGCAACGGTGGTAGCGATGGTCATAGTCGTCGAGCTAGCAGTACTTGTTGTCATTGCCGTCGTGCTAGATGCTGTTGTTGCTGCGGCTGCTGTTGTTGTTGCTGTTGCTGGTGCTGCTGTTGTTGCAATACTTATACTAGTAAAATCCGCTGGTTTCGACGGCTTCCTTCTTGTTACCTGAGCTGAGCCAGGTGAGCAAAAGACCCGCTGCGATGAAGAAGGTTTCCATGAAGAAGGTCAAGTCCAAGGTTGCCATGATACTCGGCGGCACGAGTTCGCGGTGTGTACGCCTCCAAGTGTCACGACGTTTGTACGATTGCGCAGCCTCAGATGCACGAGGAGCAAGACTCCAGCTCCAGCTGGCCTGGGCAACTTCAAGATACGAATCGGGATCATCCACGGCAAGGTGGCTTCAAAGTAAGTTGTCGTATACGGCGGTATGGAAAAACATTAGTTATCTTCAGCATGGGGTCGACGCGCTACATGAAAAGCGCCCACGCAACATGATTTGAAAGCGAAGCATTGACGACAACACATTTTGTACAGGGCCCATGTTGGATTTTTGAAGATGACAACGATCAGGTTTTCGACCCGATCAAAGTCGGCACGCATGATCGGAACTATCCAGCCGGCTCCTTAGGCTGCGGCTTTCTTCATGCCGCCATGCATCAGCAACGCAGCCTGCCATGTATGAACATACGATGCCATATGGTGGAGAATTGTTGACACGGGTGGTTCATGATGGTTCCCTGTTCTCGTACGTTCTTCCATATCGGAATCTTTACAGTACTTTATAACCACGCCTTAATCTGCGTGGTGATGCTTGATGACATCTGCATTTTTAACAGTATACCCATCTCAGAACATCTCTGTCTTTTCGTCCACTTATCTCTCCAGGTGCCAGCCGGCTTTGCATTGGAGTAGTTTTCACAGATTGATTGAGGAGCATCTCAAGATCAAGAACAACACTGGGCCCAACGCTGACGGCTGGGGCGGACAGTTCATGGCCGACGTGTCGACAGGCTGGGTGCAGTGTGCTGCAAGGCACCGGATCCGTGTAAGGGTTAAGCTTACAGAAGGGGTTTAAAATAGCCTTGCAGAAGCTTCGACCCGGATCAGGTCTGAAGATCATGCGGCTGCACCCGGATATCTTTCATGTGGACTTCATGACCATGGAACAGGTCACGGAGAAGCGCCTCTCCAGAAACCATCTCACCTTTAATTTCTGGGGTGACATGAGCATCGCCCTGATGAACGAGAAGCCGAAGCTAGCGAAGAGGCTGCAAAAGATTCAGATGAATCCGAACTTCCGACATCATCCGGTGTGGGACTACTACGAGTGGATTCTGCACAAGTCGCGCTACATGAAGGCTTGCGAGCGAGCAGGCATCCCAATGATTGACACTATTCACCTGGAAAAGGGCTTCAATGCAAGAGATGTCCTCAAGAAGATTGTTGCGAAAGGATGGGACAAGTTCTTCGTCAAGCCGGCCTACATGAGTTTCTTTGGGGCCGGTGTAATCAACGGATGCTGGGCCTTGTAGTATGAGATTTAGGGCTTGGGATCTCAAGGCACTCGTGTCAGCATTTTCCGACAAGCCGTCAAAAGAAATGGGAGCTCTGAGCCGCGAGGAAAAACTCAAGACTTCATAGACAACATAGAGCCGCTCCTCCAATACGAGGCTGAGAACAAGCATCAGAAGGAGCACCTTGGCTGCGCAGCCACATCTGCTAGTGACTTGCACAGCATCCGATCAATCATCCGCAGTAGCATCATCCCTTCAAAGCCAGCCCCTGGGATCCTGGTGAGTCACCACCGAGGTTTCTGGTGCAGCCATACATGTTGAAGCCCAACGGTGAGGTTTTTGACGAGATCCGAAACTTCTTCTGTGACGGGGAGTGGGCCTATTCTGTCTACACTGACGGAGTGGACTATGAAGGCTTCTGGGAGCAGCCCGAGGGAAAGCTCAAGGAGGCTTGCAAGAAGTGCCTTGGCCCTCATGAATTTTAGGGTTTCGGGTTCTTGGGGCGTGCGGTGCAGCTGTCGTTTTGTCCAGTGTCTCGGACTGTCTGGGGCGAGACCATTCGCTTCGTCAGACTTTCCAAGCATCTCCTTTCTGCAGTGCTGTAGAGTAGCATGTCAATGCACGTCACCACCATTCCGGCAGAATTTTTGCTTTCTGGAGAAACATTTGAGATCAGCTTCATCATGCTTTCACTGATGTTGCTAAGCAGGCTGGCCATCCAAACAATGGAAGAGGTGAAGAAAGTTCATAAGTGGGAGGGCAAGCGTATCAATTCCTTGCTCAATCGCATCGACATCGGCATCATTCCTGACAAGTCCAGGAAGCTTGGATATCGTATCTTCGTGAATGAGATCGAACCGCAAATGACGACTTGGCTGGGTAGATACTGCCCATTTGTGATCCAAGACCGTATGGCTGAAGTGTGCGTCAAGCAAGCTCACGAGATGTTGAAGAGAAGTCTGGCCGCGAAGCGCAAGATGCCATCTCCTCAGAAGGTTCGTCAGCTTCTTGACGTGCTGGATGCTTGGGTGTTCTTGGCCACCGCTGTCTCTTTTAGATGTTGCCCGTTCTGCACCATTATGAAGACTTCCAAAGACCGTGTAATCAACTCGGCAGCAACTGCTTTGACCCCTAGAAGAACTAAGGAGCAACGCCTCAAGGAGTCCTGAGCTGTCCTAGGCGTCCTCGACATGAAGAGAGATTCCTAATGCGCCGCTAGCTGATTGAGTCAACCCTGCCTGTGAAGCGCTTGGGGCCTCCGATGTTCTACGGAATCCATGAAAGTATGGAGCTCGCAGCCTTCGATTCGTGCCTTTACACCTGGGGGCCCCTAGCTTCAGCCTTGTGAGGCAGTGCAGGGCAGGACGGGGAGGGAGCCTAGCCTGGGCAGTCTGTGCTGGGGAGACGCATCGAGACCGATGCCCAGGCTTCAGTCGCCCTTTGGTCAGAAGCAACTTGGGAGTTTCCGAAAGTTAGGGGTGCCTTATTTTGGGGTCCTTATAATAAGGATCGTACTATATAGGGTACTGTATTGGGGTCGCCTATATTCGGAAACCCCCACTTCACCCTTTCGTGGAGTTGCAAAAGAGCCAGCAATCGCCAAAAGAGGGCAGCGAGGCAGTCAGCAGTCAAGAGGAAGCTTGCCCCAGTTCCTTATACCTCTCGCCTTCAGATAGCATACCTGCGGGCATCTACGCTCACCTCTCTTCTAGCAAAGATTGCTACCTCCATATCAACAGCCTTTAGGCATGCTCGCAGAAGCTATTTCTCAAGAAATTGAGCGACCGAAGAACCAACAAGAATTCATCCGCCAAAGCCCTCAAGAACCTCATGAGCCATGGCACGCTCATGCATCAACCGTAAAGAAAATACCTTAGACTGCTGCATCCCCGGCCGGGCTACCAGGCACTGGAATTCACCCGACTCTTTGCAAGCCTGGGCCTGCGACGACGATGCAGGCGCGGCTGTGAGAGGGGTCCGATTGAGGTTCCTTTGCGGGGTCCCTATAAGGGATTGTAAAAAATATTATTATGGCTCTAATGGGGTTACTATAAATGCTTCGGGTAGAATGGTCCGGGTAGGGTGGCGGTTGGCGATATTTGCCGCAGTGTTGAATCCAAAAAACCTTGAGGCCACATACCGTAAGACCCCTGAAACGCTGAGCCCTAAACAAGTCCCACGAAGCCCCAAACCTTGAACGCCGAAGCTGTAAACCCCTGAAAGCCCAGCCCGTAAACACGCTTGAACCCCTCAAGCCTAAACCCTTGAACCCTAAACCCTAAACCCTAAACCCTAAACCCTTGAACCCTAAACCCAACATCAGTAAAAGGATCAAGCACGAAAGCCTGGCTCCCACCTCGCTCTCAGGGACTCAAAAGCTTCCTCGGGCACCTTCGGTGGCCTGGAGAAACTGAGAGCTTCAACTACGGGACAGGGATTTTGAGTGGTTTGAGTTCTGCACAAGGTGTAGTCGCTGGGGTTCTAGAGGGTTCGTGAGGGTTTTTCCGGCTGTTAGGGTTGTGTTAAATACCTTACCAAGCCTGGAAGCCCCACCGTCTTGAAGATGATATAGACCACTCTCCGCACAGGTTTCAACTAGGACCAGAACATTAGACCCCCGAAAAAGCCCAGAAAAGAGCACAAGAGAGACCTTGAGAAGCCCTCAGCCTGTGAACCCTACACCTGCGACCCTGAAGCCCACACCGTGAACTTCTGGAAGGAGAGCACTTAAAGACAAAAAAGGGTCGGAGGACTTGGAGAAAGCAACGTTATCAGTTATGACATGCTATAACGTTGTAGTACGTTGTGTCTTTATTATGGCACCATAGACCATTGGAGTTTTTCAGCGACGCTTGCTTTCTTATAACCCTACTTGTAGTCTAAGTCTTCAAGCAAGTACTTTAAGCCCGGAACGCTAAGGCTGGCAACCGCGACTACTCGAGGCTGAAGATCCGATTTGTCTGAGAATGTTCTTACAGGATCAGGGGACTCAGCCAGGGCTTGAGTTTGGGGGTTGGGGAGTTGTAAGTAAAGCACATAAGTATCTGCAGTCATAGTTGCTCAGAGACCCTGTAGCGTACTTGCAAGCTGGGTAACCTAGTCCCCTGTTCCTTCAAATATGAGGTAATGATCACGGCTACATGTGGCAGCTTCGGGTTTTGTTGGATTACATGGCTTAGGGTTTAGGGCGATGAAGTTTAGGGTGCAGCACTTCGGAATTTCTGGCCGGAAGAGGGTTGAGGCATTTCGGAGTCTGCATCTTCCTGCATTAGCAGCGGCGACGGGGTATAGTGCATCAGTTGATCGGTGAAACCCAAACCGGGGCCACAGCTAGAGGCTAGTAAGGCCAGAGATGTGTCTCTGGGCTGTCGGAAAAGACATTGCCATATTTCCTCACTTGCATTGGGTTTAGCCACAGGATCAACGACTTGCAGGAGGCAACTATCACAACTGCAGATCACTGTGACCCAACACAAGTGCACGCTCTTCTCATCTGCGAGGCTCACCTCAACCAGCTAGACAGTAGTTGCACCCTGGACATCCCTGGACTGTGCTACTCGACACCCTCCACCCTATTTACACCCCAAGCTAAGCCCGAACCGGACACCATGATGCCAACGCTCTGAACCCTGAACCGGTAACGTTGTTGTTGTAAGCCTCGGCCCGAACTTCGAACCCTCAAGCCCCGCACCTTAGCCGTCGCGCGGCTTTGGGGTTCAGGGTTCAGGCTTCCCATGACTTCCCCAAACTTCCTGCAGCAGGGGCAAGCTTGTACATGGCCTGGCATCCTCCACGGCCTCCATCAACAAGAAGGCGGAAAGGCTCGAGGCGGGAGCTCTTCTTTGGCGTGTTGGATAGCAGCGTTGGTTTGGGGTTTTGGGTTTAGGATTTAGGTGCTTAGGGCTTAAGGGGTTTAGGGGTTTAGGGTTTTGGGGTTTAGGGTTTGCGGGTTAAGGGTTTGGGGGGTCGTGTTTGGCGTCTCGGGGTGCACGGTGTCTTCGGGGGGGAGGGAACCCACATACCTTGATGGTTTTGGTTGTTGTGTTTGCTTCTCCAACTATACCTTGTTTAGGGTTGTAAATACATATCTTCAGTTGGTTCATAGTTACTAGGTAGCTTGTCTTCCTGCCGAAAGATATGTGCATCTTGCCTATAAGGAAATCATAGAGAGGTGTTAATGGGACATCTATGGCCATGCTTTGTGTTATGTTGACCCACCACTCCGCACCACCCTTGACACCCTGAATCCTGAATCCAGCGAAGCAGACGCGACATTGGAAACTTTTTTCGAGCTCTGACGTGACCAAGTGCGAGGATCCCTGTGAAATCATCATCATCATCATCATCATCATCATCCTCTTCCTCGTACACGAAGTTCAACCTCGTTGTGCTGCCGCAGCTCCCGGTTTCCAAACACACCATGGGACACAAATTCGGTTACCAGCTACAACCTGCGACCTTATATACAACCCCTAAACCCAGCCCAGAGGTCTTGCTAAAGAGCGAGCAACAGAGAACAACAGTTAGGTGTTGGAAGACACCGATCTCCTTCCGCCTCCAATGTCACCGGTGTCCAGAGCGAAGGACTGGAGCCTTGTTTACGGTTTTGTAAGGTGCTCTACGCCGTTTGCAGAGGCTTCCCAGGGTTTTTGAGAGATTGCGTTACGGGCTGCAGGGCCTTCAAGGCATTCTTTATGGCCAACGAAGGGACTCGAGTGCTTTAGAGGCTTGGAGAAAAGGGTTCAGAGCTTTGGGCGTTTCGCTTAAACAGACGTGGTTGGGAACAAGGGTGGCAGTCTGGGTTTGCAGGTTCAGGTCGGGGGGAGGGGGGTATCGAGGCTCCAATGTCCGTTCAGGTTCGATCAGGCATCCATCCATCTATGTATTGGTTGTTCATGTACGTGTGTATATATATATATATAGATAGATAGATAGGTATATGTACGCACGCATAGATTTCTGTATGTATGTATGTATGTATGTATGTATCGGCATCAGCATCTCTCTCTATCTGTCTGTCGATTTATGTTCTTCGTTAGTTTCAGTGTACTTCAGCATACGTACGTAAACAGATCTTACATACTTGTGTTCAGGGATGTGCAGTGGCTGTGAAACTACAGCACATCTCTTCCGGATTTACTGCCTCTGGCGGTGGTGCGCACACCTGCAAACAAGTAGCCAAACCCTGCAGGCCCTTCTAGGCCAAACTTCTACACCCTAAAGGCCCTAAATCTAAGCAGCCCAGCTCTCCTCAGGCCGAGCGGCGCTCCTCCGTGGCGGGCCGTCGTCAGTCCGTGGGCTTCGGCTTCCAGGACCGGAGCTCCGGTTATGTTATGAAGCCACAAGGGCTTACTGTATTATGTAGGGGTTTCGGGTTTCAGGGTCGCTGGTTTTGGGGGTCTAGGGTGTAGGCCGGCACAGTCCCAAAGAGCATCCTGGTCGTGATACGAGAGGCAAGACTACTACATTGAAAGCGTATTCATGGTAGCAGTTCCGTTAAATTTCGAGAAGCAAGAGATCCGCGAGTTGTGATTATAGCATAGGCAAATTTTGAACGACGCCACAGTAGCCATGTTGTTGCATGGAGGTGTCACGTCGATTAAGAGGTTCCATGTATGACAGATGCAACATGTACGAGTAGTTGGCTTCGTTCTTTGCATGTTCGTTTTCATGCCTGGGCCTGGGCTTTGACTGTGAGCCAGTGCTTCCAGGACATCATGAGCCCAAGCGACGCGATGAAAGCTTTCGACATGGTGGAGTCCACGCTTCAGGATTGCTGCAGAGCTATATATATATATATAATACCCTCGATTTATCCAGGGTCCGAAAGGGTGGCCCTGGGTACCCTTGGGAACAGGGTCCGAAAGGGTCGCCCGACCCATTCGGACCCCACCTCAGATATTAGAAAAGCAAGCCAGTTAAAACCAGATTTAACTTGCCTGCGGTAGTCCTGCGGTATCACCGCACCGAAAGAATGCCTTGTGGGGGGTGGCTGACGGGGGGGGGCACTAGGCATTGAAATACCTTGTAGACCCCCGGAGTGCCTTGTATGGGGGTCATAGAATATGAGAGAATAGGTGTGCTGGCGAGTGGTACAAAACATTTACCCTGAAAACCTAAACCCTGAAACCTATACACCAAAATCCAGAGACATCCAAAAACGTCAAAATCCAGAATCCTTGGAAGAGCCCCTGAACCCATCAACCCCTAAACCCAGAAATTCTTAACCCTTATGTCGCTTATGTCCCGCAGTAACCCAAAACCCCAAACGCAGAAACCCTAAACCCAGAAAGCCCTTGAACCCAGATACCCACCAAGCCCCCAAACGCAGAAGCATTGTACCCAAGCGCCTGAACTCAGAAACTGAAAACCCAAAACCACTGAACAGAGGAACCGCTGAACCCAGAAACCCTACACCCAGAATCCCAGAAACCCTGAGCCCATATCCCAGAAACCTTAAACCCAGATCCCAGAAACCCTGAGCCCATAGCCCAGAAACCCTGGCATGAACAGCCTGGCTTCAAGTGAAATCGGCTTGAAGTTGATCCTGTATGTTCGTCCTTAATCGCTACAGACCTCGCCAGGCTTGCCCGAGTGTGAGTGTCAAAACCCAGAAACCCAAAACCTTGTGCTCCAAACCCTTGAACTCAGAAGCTAACAACCAAGAACACCTAAACCCAGAAGTTCTGAACCCGCAAATCTGCGAGTAAGCCCAGAAACCCTGCACGCAGAAACCCTAAACCCAGAAAACTCCTGAAGCCAGAAATGCAGAACCCAGAAACCGCAAACCCCGGAAGCCGCAGACATCATAAACTGAAACCCAAAATCACCGAACCGAGAACCGCTGAACCCAGAAACCCCAACCCAGAGAAAACTATTGAAGCCAGAAATCCGGAACCCAGAACCCGCAAACACCCAAACACAGAAACCCTGTAGAACCCAGAATCCCTAAGCCCTTAAACCAAAACCTTAAACCCCTGGACGCTGCACCGAAGCACAATAGCGGCTTGAAGCAAGTCACATGTCGTGCTCGAATCGAGTGGCCGACATGCCGACGCCACAGGGGCGACGCCGGGCGTCGCAACAGGAATCCACCGAGCGGCGCCCGGCGTCGCCCACACCTGTGGGAGCGGGGTCCGAATGGGTCGGCCACTCTTAGAGGGGGCGACGCCGCGCCGCTCGGTGGATTCCTGTTGCGACGCCAAGCCGCTATTGTGCTTCGGTGCAGCGTCCAGGGGTTTAAGGTTTTGGTTTAAGGGCTTAGGGATTCTGGGTTCTACAGGGTTTCTGTGTTTGGGTGTTTGCGGGTTCTGGGTTCCGGATTTCTGGCTTCAATAGTTTTCTCTGGGTTGGGGTTTCTGGGTTCAGCGGTTCTCGGTTCGGTGATTTGGGTTTCAATTTATGATGTCTGCGGCTTCCGGGGTTTGCGGTTTCTGGGTTCTGCATTTCTGGCTTCAGGAGTTTTCTGGGTTTAGGGTTTCTGCGTGCAGGGTTTCTGGGCTTACTCGCAGATTTGGGGGTTCAGAACTTCTGGGTTTAGGTGTTCTTGGTTGTTAGCTTCTGAGTTCAAGGGTTTGGAGCACAAGGTTTTGGGTTTCTGGGTTTAGGGTTTCTGGGCTATGGGCTCAGGGTTTCTGGGAGTCTGGGTTTAGGGTTTCTGGGATATGGGCTCAGGGTTTCTGGGATTCTGGGTGTAGGGTTTCTGCGTTCACCGGTTCCTCTGTTCAGTGGTTTTGGGTTTTCAGTTTCTGAGTTCAGGCGTGTGTACAATGCTTCTGCGTTTGGGGGCTTGGTGGGTATCTGGGTTCAAGGGCTTTCTGGGTTTAGGGTTTCTGCGTTTGGGGTTTTGGGTTACTGCGGGACATAAGCGACATAAGGGTTAAGAATTTCTGGGTTTAGGGGTTTATGGGTTCAGGGGCTCTTCCAAGGATTCTGGATTTTGAGTGTCTGGATGCTTTTGCGCAGGCCCCGCGAACTTAGGTAGGAACCCGAGCAAACAACCACGGCCTGGGAAGCTTGAGTGTGCGCCTTGTCCCGAGGCCCGCTGCCTGCTACTTCTGTGAACTTCTGCGTGGGTGCTGGAAAAATATATGCGGAAACCATGCTCAATATCATGAAAACTATGTTGAGCCATACCCAAATTCAAGCCGAGCCCCGACGCAGACTCAATGACTACCAGCAGGGTCCGAATGGGTGGGTCCGAAAGGGTCCGGCCAGATCTACGGGAGACCCTGGGAACCACCCTTTCGGACCCACCAAACAGGGTCCGAAAGGGTGTCCCCGGGCCGACCCTGCGTATCTCGATCCTATTATATATATATATATATATATATATATATATATATACACACACATCTATATAATGGCTTATATACATATCTATATATATATATATATATATATATATATGCATATATATATATATATGTATGTATATGCATGTCATGATTTTCGAGAGTTTGGAGCATTGGTTGGGAAGTTGGGGCAGGTTCGACACAGTTTTTCTGATGCTCCAACCTTGGCCGCCACCCAGTCAGAGATGAAGCCTGAGAAGCCGGCCCCAGAAAGGCAGCGGAGTAACTGCAGAAATTGCCCAGGAAACAAGCAACGAGCATTCGGCACAAACCTCGGCAGTCCGAGAAGATTCGTAGCCCCCCGCGGCTGATTTCCGTGTTTTGTTGCTTGCCGGCTCCCAGCAGGAGTACAAGAGACAGCATGCCACATGCATCGTTCCACCTGAGGCAAACCTGCCCTAGATGCCTCTCTCTTGTTGAGCAGGAGCTTAAGAAGACCTTCCGGGCGGACGATGTGGGTGAGGTCGATTCACATGCTCTGTCTGAATGCAGACACCATCCAAGCTCATAGCCTTGCAGCAACAGGAGCGTGCTGACGACAGTGAAGAGAAGCGTGCCGAGGCCCAGGGGGGGCAGGTTTTGGCCGTCAATGTTGGTACCACTGACAGTCGTCGTCGCCATCGTCGTGGTTCCCCCGTGATCCTCAGGAACGCCGGAAGCGCGAGCAGGAGGCCAAAAAAGCTCGTGAGAAAGCCCAGAACACGAAGGATCCAAGGCCGGGGTTGCGAGCTGCTGCTAGCTCGGCATGGCTTCTCTCTTTGCCACGTTCCGCAAGCCGGGGATGAGTTGTTCCGACGTGGGGCCTTTGCTCATAAGAAAGATCGGGCTATGCCAGCTGTGTAGGGTCCAGAATCCCTATGATACGGATTACCCTTGGTTTGGAAATTCCTATGTAGCTGCATTTGTGAAACGACATCTCTGCAGGCGGCGGGTCGCAGTGATGTTGGAACAAGGTCGCGAGTGGGGACAGGCACGGAGGGCCTCGATGCGCATGTAGCAAGAAGGTGCAAGCTTGCAGCAGCTCAAAAAACCATAAATTAAACCGATTACCCCTACACCCAAAGCTCTAGTCTCCTGTTCCGACACATCCCCGAAACCCGACACCACATGAAGCCCTGCGAAGTCTTCGCAATCTTCGACTGTTGAGGCCAGGCCCGATCAGGCCCGGGACCGGAAGGTCAACGTGCCCATGCAGGCCGAGCCCCGGAGTAATATGGGGGCCTAATCAATTACCAATACTATTTTCGGGGGGTTCCTTTTCTCATAATTCTAATAGTATAATGGGCCCCAAAAACCCTATTCCAAGTATCAAGGCCCCTACAGTAACTAAGGCTTTCGGGCCCGTTTGTTTCCGGGTTCAGAGACTCGAGGATCTGAGAGGGTCTTTTGCGGCGCCAGCTTTTAGGGTTTAAAGGGAACTCCAGAAAGTTGGAATATGGATTAATGGTAGGATCCCCTATAATTTACCTTACCGGGGTTACGATAATGATATTCCAACTTTCTGGCTTCTACTGTATGTGCAGGATTCAGGGCAGACATGGGCTTATGCACCGCTTCTCGAAGAGTTTATGTTAGGCTTATGTGCGATCTCGGGTGATCAAGCGTTCGGGGCGGCTGAGAGTTGGAGTCCTGTCGGATGTTGTGGCTGCAGTTGAATTGAACTATCACCCTAAATCCCAAAACCCTAAAGCCTAAACCCTAAAGCCTGCTTTGCAGACAAAACGTGTCGAGGCCTCGGCTGTGGAATTTGGAATTCTTTGGGGTCAGGGCCCGGCCTTGGAAGTTGAATGTGACACACGGACCATTCCTTCCTTCATAGCCCCTGAAGGATTCTACAGGTAGCTGACTGGCAAGACCCGGGTCTATATCAACTAGATCACTGTCCACGAAGCCTCCTACTCAAAGCTTTGGAATTAAGCATTTCGGGCTAAAGGTTTGAGGCCCGCACAGCCGGCCGCTTGCGTGAAAAGGAGGTAGGGACGATTTCTGTCGGCCAGATTCCCACGAGAGGTCAGAGCTGAGGCAGAGTAGGTCTGGGCGTGCCATCTGGCCGAGTGCCATCAAGTCCTTCATCCTGGCTACATCTCAGTTTCATAACCCCCTTCCGTTCCGGAAACCCTATCCGCGAGACACGCGTTTTCTCCGATGCCAAGCTGCACTTGTGTTTCCAACCGCTTCCCTTAGGGCGGAGCAGGTTCTAGACCTGAACCTAAACTCTGAGCCTCCTTCCCGGAACGAGCATTGCAACATGAGCGCCTGCGGCGTGCTTGAATACATCCTGGATTCCACGCCTTCCGCAGCTCCTTCACAAGCCTTAAACCCTGAAGCGCCTGAAGCCTGTCAGAACGCCGATATAGTAAAAGCCTCCAAGAACCTCTACCGAACCCTCTACACAAGCCTACCTATGAAACCCAGCTCTACTAACCCCCTTAACCCGCCTGTCAGCAACACTTGGCCCTCCACGCCGGCGGCGCCGAGCGCATTGAGATGGTGCCTAGGCTATTCTGGAAAGCATTTCATGAAGTTTAGCATCGTACAGTCAGAAAGTGGACTAGAGATCATGTTTAGCTAGCTCAATAGACTCTTAGGAAGGAATAACAACTGCAAGTTTTAAAGCGGCCTCCAAGAAGAGCCCAGGTGCACGTCTGTGCTCTGCAGGCCTGGCTGGGGCCGACCTGGTCCTGTCTGTCCGCAGCCTTAATAGGATGCTTTTGCCGCAGGTTATTGTGCTTGTACTCCATTGATGATGACAGTCATCGCGTAATGATGACGAGACTTTGCGTCGCCGTTGTGTTGGTGTTGGACTTGATGGTGGTGGTTAGAGTGTTGCGTGCATGTCTAGCTCAAGCTCCAGTTGTGGCACTTTGTATCGGTATGTACAAGGTCGTGACTCTCTCGCTTTCGGGTTGTAGGGTTTTGCTTTTCGGGTTTGGGTTGAATCTGAGGCAGGGTTTGGTGTCGAAGTTTTGGGATCCAGGTTCTACTGCTTGACCAGATTATGATGAGGGATTAGGACTGGGTCTTGCGATGACAGTTTAGGAGCGCGAGGCTTTTTGTTTCCTTCTGTTGGCTTCCATTGATTGTGAACTGGTTGCTGCCCTGCAAACCTGCATTCACCGAGCATCACATACACAAAATGACGCAGCCACACCATTTGTGGATTGTTTCTATAACTGTCGCACGAGCCACAAGCAAACAAGAATATCCGGCGGCCCAAGTGCGTTCTAGAAAGAACGACAATCAAACAACAAAAGCGATGAAAGTTGTGGTATTCGCGATGGTTGACACATCCGTCATAAAAGCGAGAACCAAGGACATGCCAGACATCAGCTCACAAAACTTCGTCTTCGATAGAAACTGCAAACACACGAGATTTCTGCAAAATCCTACACAACACACGACACACCCTCGCGGTGGCAAGCACTTCAGCTTCCTCATTCTTGCAACGTGTGTTCCTATTGCTGTTGTTCTTGATGTCGTCGTCGTCGCCGGCATGTATGTTCTCGTCGTCGTCTTGGTTTTTGTCAGTGTTCAATACTGTCGCTACAGTATTGTCAGAGTAGTGCTGTGGTTGTTGAGGTTGCTGGAGATCTCGTCATCACTGTTGTTATGATGACGTTTTTGCTTAAGCATCATAGCAGCCATGCTGCTTTCGTGATGGAAGTAACGATGGCAATGCACATGCTCGCGATGATGTGGCGACTTGGGTTGCCGCCTCCATCGTGGCAACAGTTTGTGATGCTACTGTATGGCTTCGCTGGCCAGGGCCGCTGCAAGGGGCTCAGCAGCGGCAGCTGCAACTACAAGGAGGTCGCGTGCCGTGCCGGTGTTAGTCAGGAATGTAGCGAGGGGTACTGAGCTAAGGGGGTGCTCAGCAACAGCCGACAATCGATCAGTTTTCAGCCCCTGAGCATCGACCCCGAATTCTAACGAGCCAGGCAATGCCAGATGGTGAAGATAGTGGATGGCCCATCTCAGACAACTTCGGAAGTGTGAATTCGGCTTCGGTTAGAATGGGTATGGTTTGAGGCTCTTGTAGATTAGGACAAAAGCTTTGGGGATCGAAGAAGCGGTGGATCAGACGGATCTTGAAGCCTGGTAAACCGAGAGAACGCTGCTGCAGGTTCGCAACCTTGTGGAGGAGGAGGTGCGAAGATGAAATGCAGACTCAGAAACCTCCCCGTCTCGGATGACCTGTGTACATGTGTATCCCGAACTTCGAAATTTGATGTGAGCACTTTCGTGGAGACAGTCGGTGCGGCAGATGGTGCAGTCGCCTCTGGCAGGAGCGACAGGCGAAATGGTTGCAATCAACGGCGCCGGCCGAGCCCAAGGACTTCATCAAAGACAACAAGGTGCCTAAGCGTGACTTCCAAAGCTTTGCGTAATAATTGTGGTAATAACCACAACTGGTGTTACTTGGAGGTTCATGGTAGCTAATTATAAGTAGGGCAACCATATTGATAACCCATATTAGGGACTTATAACCCGCCTTATAACTACCCATGAACCTCCAAGTACTAACATTTCTAGAATCTCTCTTCCTCAGGCTCTCAGCAGCTGCTACTCGACCGGTGAGTACAGCTGGCGCCTGAGTCCTGTTGTGCTACCCTTGTATGCCCAGGCGCCTTTTGTGATCTTCTGAGTTGCACAAAAAATCCGTGACCCTGCCTATCCTAAACCCTAGTGAGAGGCCATTGCACCTAAAAAGAAGCCTGGACATTATAACCCTAAAACCCCAAAACCCGAAGCCCTCAAACCCTAAGGCCCTAAAACCCTGAAACCTAAGAAGTTGTGAACTGTAGTTTTTGCTCGTGAGGTCAGGATGCCGCAGAGGCCTTGGAGGCCCGGCTCGGTGTGTAAGAAGCCCTGCTAGGGCCTTGGGGGAGGTTTGTGAAGTTAAGACAGGGTTTAGGCTCTTAGGTTTAGGGTTTAGGGTTGAGAGGTCAGGGTTTAAAGTTCAATGTTCAGGCTTTCTGTAGACTCATTTCTGATGAACCTCGGCGAACTACTATTGAAACTAGTGTAGACGAGACGAACGAGGCGTGCCCCGCAACACAACCCCAGGTTTAATCTAGGACAGGAAGGCTTGTTGCCAGAAGAGCCTTTAAGGTCATTGATCATCCTGTACTTACCACCGGCAAGCGTCAAGAGCATCGAACTACACTAAACCCTAAGCCTTCAACCCTACCCGCTTCTGTCAGCAATCGTGTAGAGATGGGGCTCCGGTCTCCAACCTGATAGATGGATTTTTGTCGGCTTCTTCAAATTAGGGTGTGCCTTATTTCGGGGCCCTCTGTTTTGGGGGCTACATGGCCAAAACTGAAAACACCGGGTGTCGGGAAGTCAGCCTGCTCCATGGCGAGTCTAGGATGCATGGGACTTGAATCAGATTCGTTTTCCTTTCATTGCACGCAGAAGGACTAGGCTCCGACAAGACCTGCAGCGTCTCTTGTGCACAAAGGAAGTAGAGGCTTTGAGCCTTCATTGCCCAAAGCGCTTGCCAGCTGTAGGAGTACGTGAAAAAAGGTTCGGATTAGGATCTGAGTCGAAAAACCCTGACTCCTGGACGAAGAGAGGCAAAGTTGGCCTTGGCGAAGAAGCGAAAAGCCCGTGCGCACGAGGCGCACAGAATGTGGATGCCATAGGAGCTGCAGGGTATTTACAAGCTTCATTGAAGCTTGAGCCTAGCAGGAGCAAGGGCAAAGACACTGAACAGCATCGTTTTTTCGCAAGGTTTGTGCCAGCTTCAGAAGTGAGTTACTGACTAACACGGGTGCATCGC